TTGAAATGCCAAGATTGCCATTTTTGAATTTTTCTATTTTTTGGGCTGGACGGTCCCGTGTGGGACCTGCTACCGAGACTGTTGCATACGGGGATTTCAATTGGATCCATTTGCATCATACTTATTTTATTTAATGTGTTTTATGTAATTGTGAAATATGTGTGTATATATATATATGTGTGTGTGTGTGTGTGGTGTGAAATGGAAATAAAAGAAAAAGGAAAAATAAAATAAAAAGGAGGTGGGCCCTACCACCATTGAACTTAAGGCTAGAGACCACCATTTAGTCTCACAATTCTCTTCTCACTCCCATTGGTTTCTCGCTTCTCCTCTCAAACTCGCTTTTTCTTTTTCTTTTTACATCAAGACTTTGAATATAGATCTCTCCTTCATTACTTGAAATTTTTAACTACCATTTGCGGCAAATTGAAGCTCACGACGAGATCTATAAGTTGATCGGAGCAATTTCTAGTTTGGTGCGCATTTATTGATTTTCAAAATTTAGGGCATCAAATTGGGGGTTTTGCATAATCTTGAGGTAGGGGTTTCTAATTCCCAATTTCTTGTTTCTTGTGAGTCCATTTCTTGTTAATTGTTGGTAACATGTTTAATTGATGTTAATTAACCCTAGAATGATTTTATTGTGGTGTATAAAGTTCTTTAATTTATGTATTAATTGATGTGTACGAAAAACATGTTTAAGTGTTGATTTCTTATGCCTATTGTATTACTAATTGCTAGAAATGATGTATGTAAGCATGTATAATTTTTTTAGAATTTATTGTGAAGCATGCCTTGTTTAAATTGTTTGCCTTGAAAATGATATAATTGTTGTAATAGAAAGTTTATGCTTATATGTGTTGATGGTATTATGTGAGAAGCATGCCTAAATGTTAATTCTCATGCCATGGTGTTTATTATTTTCCTAGAAATTTCTATGAAGAAGCATGTTAAATTGTGAAGTGTAAATTTCCTCTATTATTATACTATTGGGAAAAAATACATGGCATGCATCCATAGCATTGTGCATGAAAGAAAAGGGGGAAATGTTTTAAAATGAAAAAAAAAAAAGAAAAAAAAAAGGATTTTGGGACAAAATTTTGATTAAAATGATTTTTATGAAAATCCGGTCGCCGTGGAGTTACCAAAGAGTCGTGGTACTAATATAACTTAGAGGGAATTAGGAAGATTGCCCTAGCGTGGTTGAGCTATCTAGGCCCTAAATGACACTGCGAAGATACCAACGGTCAGGGATAGTAGCTAATCTTTTTCTCGTGTTGCCGCAGAGTCACCAATAAACAGGTTATATTAACAGTTTGAAAAGTGATGGATTTGGATTTTGAAAATGGGGAGCGATATTCATGGCATCACATATCATAGTATGGCGCTGTTATTTTGGAATTGGAATTAATGTTGTGTTCCTTCCTGGCATAGTATGACCCCGCTTCCTATTTCTATTCATTGTTTGGATTCATGGGATCACAAGATGTATGTCTTAGGCACCACCTACTGAGCAATTTGCTCACCCTTTATATTTAATATTTTTCAGGACACGAATGGCAAGTGGCGGACGACGCTCCTCCACAGGGTTCGATGGGTTAGTAGATCGTTTTGACATACTTTGTAAATATAATCTCATTTTATTATTTATTTATTATTACTTATTTTTTTATAAACTCGGAATGACACGTATAATATGTATTGACGTATGAAAGAATGGCATTGTCCCTAGTTGATTTCGGGTTCAGTTAAGGACCCAGCTAATGGTTCGAACCTTCGTGTTCGGATCGTTACATTAATGACATTATGATGATGTCAGTCTCTATTCTCAACTATCGAACTTCAATTCATTTTCAAATCGCCCGCAATACTATTCCTCTTTGTGTTGTTCAAATGTTAACATGCTTAAAATTAAGAATGCAACATAATATCGAGAATTAAAATAATTGTGTTGCATTCTTGATTGATCTTGTTGCATGGTCAAGTTAGTAGTGTTGCATCTTTAATCTGATAGTGTTGCAGCATTAATTGATGGTATTTGTATTTCCAATTTAATTGTAATTCGTCATCCATTTAATTATGTTACAAACGTCACAACAGGGTACGAATTAATGAGTTAGAGAAATTTGTGAACTGAATTCACGAAATGTTGGTGTTAGTGGAGGCGGGAATGAAACCCAAGTTTTAGAGGGAATCGTATAGTTACATGCTCCTGATGCTTTTGAAACTACAAAAGGAAAGGAAAGGAATGGAAAAGGGAAAAGAAAAGACCTTTACAAAAGAAAAGTAAATATGAGGGACACGGGAATTTACGTTTCACATGTTTTTATTCCTTTTCTTTTTCCTTCTGATCATTAATATAGATTTTGACTAAATTTTTAATTTTATACAAACAAGGGAGAAAGTACGGTACTATCTTTTTTTTATTATTATTATAAAAAATTGAGTGAGGTATTTTTAAGATTTTAACATAAAGCACAATTAATTTTATAAATAAATATATAAAAAAAAAAGTGCTCTAGTCCCTTAATAGGTAAATGCCTGTGGACAAGGGGGTCATGAGCTATTTATACCCAGTGTTTGAATTGTGTTTCTGTTTTCAAATTCTAAAGAAGCTCACTTATTTTTCTTTTCATTTACAACATCATTTAATTCTTTAACTAGTTACGAGCATGAATTTTTCGGATAACAACTTATTGAAAGAGATTCATTAGAAGTATTCTTACATTAAATTTGTTACAAGTCCATGTTAAAAAAAAAATCAATTATGGTAATTAATATATTAAACAACAACTGATATCTAATATACCAATTATATGGAAAACCAACATATACTTTGGTTTTCCCCGTTCATTTGCTGAGATCCTAAAAATGAACAAGTACATAATATACATGTATAAAACATATACATGTACATGTAAAATATACATGAATAAGGTGTACACAAGTGCATACAATAATTTGAGGGGACAGCCTAGACAAATAAGTCATAGCATAAAATTATTCGTCAAATGAATTGAGGCTGTATTCAGTTGCATTGAATTAGAGTTTTGAAATTATAATTTGTGAAATTAGAGATAAATTACAAAATTAAACCAAAATTTTCTCCAATTTCAAAACTCTAATTCTATGCAGCCGAACACAGTCCGATAAAATTTACTGAAAGTGATTTTCAGTCAATTTCCCACAGTCTGATAAAATTTACTGAAAGTGATTTTTAGTCAATTTCCCACAGTCCGATAAAATTTCCTAAAAGTAATTTTCGGTCAATTTCCCTTACGTGCAGGATTATAGCCATGACCATTTCTACTCCGTTTCACTTTTAAAAACAACAAACATTCTACTTATATATTGTTTGAGTAAATCAATAACCTATTCCAATTTAAATCAGCCCCAAGGCATAATTTTTAAAGTGTTAAAATTCTATATTTGAGAAATTATTCACATAATTAAATCAACCACCTGTTGTGGGTCTCACTATAGAGTATAGACTCTCCCAATGTCTAGTATTGCACATGCATGAGAGGGAACATCTTGGTGAGAAATTATTAGTTTTTTTTTTTAATTATTTTTTTAATTTTTTTTTAGTTAGCATAAGGAATTCCCTTAGGTAGGGCTCCTTCAAAACCCACCCTAGGCTACAAACCTGGGGGTGCAGAACCTCGCCCCAAGAAATTATTAGTTGCTTTTGCTCAACCTACACTTGATACATTATTGGTATTTTATTATTATTTTTTTGATAAAATAAAAAATAAAAAAACACACACACACACACACACACACACAATTCAATTCAAAGTCCTTTTTTTTTTTTTTGGATGGACAAAAATGGTTAGGGATTAGTGGTTAGTGTAGAGGGAAATGGTGCAATGTTCGAACACAAATTTTTAAATAGAAAGAATAACTCAATCATTCAGGCAACGCAAAACTTGCATTCAACCCAAAGTCCAAACATACAAATGTTAAAATTTCAATTGGATACCAAGATTTTTAAATCTTTTTCTTTTCATGCAAATGGATTACATTGAAAAAAAAATGAAGTTGGCTTCATGAAAAGAAACATGTTAGTGGGACAAACATCCAAAATTAATTTATGACATAATGGATTGGAGTTCTTTACATTCGAGAAAGTAGGACCTTCATAGGTGGATGACAATTAGAATTTTATACAATAAAAGAAACTATTCTAGAAATGGCATTTTGTATAAAATAGAAACTATTCTACAAAAATGAATTTTTATTCTTAATTGTGAACAGAAGATACTAATTTTAAATCCTAATTAGTGTACACTACTGAACCTGCCTACCCAAATTTAAAGAATAAATTGGCATTTGGCCAAGCCATGTCATGACCTATGTTGTTCACTATTTAGTCGGTCATACCATCACATGAATGACATTTATAGGTCATACATTACTTCTGATTCTCCATTGTATGAAAGCCTTTTCATCAAACTTGTAATCCCACATCCATAAGTCATACCCCTAAACTTTACTCCCCCAGTCACAATTTTTAATGTGGACATCTATTTAGAACAAAGAGAGTCTAATATTATGTACATAATAAGATAATATGAGACAATCGATACTATTATAAGGTCAAGGTCCATCTCAAGACAGTTATTATAAATCATTTAATTATGTACAAATATTGAGATGGGCGTCTAACTATTTGAAAGAAAATTCTCTCCCTCTATATATATATTCTAAAATTTATGTCAATTCATTTAGCCAAAGTTTTAATTTAAAAAAAAAATTTTATTTGACTAAATTATTATTATTATTTTTAGAATTTCGTATAATTTCATTTTATGATATTTTGAACTATTTTTATTTTATTTTTAATTTTTAACAATGGGATCAGTCATAAAATCCACCCCCTCTATTTTTAGGATAAACATTGGGCAACTGTGTAAGTTTGTGACTATTTAAATGTTCAACTAACAATATATACATACACGAGGAGACGCGTGTGCATTTAGATGTAGCGTATACTATGTACGTAAACGATGTAAAACCGCTAAACAGTGCCTCTATATCCCATCCGTTATATTTGGCGGCACCAGAACCGCTTCTCATCAGCTCCTTCGCATTTACAAATTCTCTAGATTTCATTTTTCTGGGTTTCTTAGATTTGGCTTGTAGATGCAGAGAGAGAATTAGCAACATATATGGAGAGGTCTGAGACTTCGCTTTCTCTCTCTAGCCTTTTGTGCTCAGAAGATGAATCTTGTTTAATTGAAAACAAGGAACCGTACTATGTAATCGTGAACTCACCATGCTCTGTTTCTGAATCCGAAGATGAGTATATACAGATGTTAATCCGAAGAGAGACAAGTATTGAATCCAATAACAATCTATCTATAGATGTTTGTCCACTCTCAAGTAAAAGTTGGTTGAAATGTGCCCGTGAAGATGCCATCAAATGGATTCTCAATGTCTGTATATATATATGTGTGTGTGTTTGTGTTTCTATATATGCTGTTGTTTTTACAGAGTTTTGTGTTTTGATGCAGACCAGAGCATACTTTGGGTTTCACTTCCGCACAGCTTATCTATCACTGACATACTTTGATGAATTCCTTTCAAGACGATCAATTGATGTGAGCATCTCTTCTCTCTGTCTATCTCTATCTCTCTCTTTCATATGAGATTTCATAAGTGTCCAATTGATGTGATTGTTAATGTTAATTTTGATGTGGATAGAATGGGAAAATATGGAGCATTGGATTATTATCAGTGGCATGTTTGTCATTGGCGGCAAAGATGGAGGAGTGCAAAGTGCCAGCATTGTCCCACTATCATATTGATGATTACAACAACGATGTGATTCAGAGAATGGAGTTACTTGTCTTGAATACATTGGAATGGAAAATGGGGTCAATCACTCCTTTTGCTTATCTCCACTATTTCATCACCAAGTTTTTTGGTCATTCTAGCCCAAAAGAATCGATTTCTAGAGCTATTCAACTCATTTTCGCTATAACAAAAGGTATCTAAATCTAACACTAAGTACTAAAGATCAATTTCAATTTCAGTTTTGAGTTTCTTATGTTTGCTTATCAATTGAAAATGGTCGAAACAGAGATAAGTTTGAAGGATTATCGACCCTCCGTTATTGCTGCCGCGGCAGTCTTAGCAGCTTGTGATGATGATCAATTAACAAGACAGAGAGTTGAACTTAAGATGGCTGTGGTACTATCATGGACGCCTTTAGACAAAGTGAGGTTTTTTTTTTTTTTAAGTCATTCAAGTTATTTATTATTATTATGAAGAATCTCTTAATAATTTGACACACTGAGATTTGTGGTACTTCAACAGGAACACATACATTCCTGTTATAACCGAATGCAGGAAATTGTGGGAAAATCTGAGACACCCAAGTCAGTAATTTCCCCAAATTTACTGTCAACTAGTTCAAGTTGGACCGATGTTCTTGAGAATTCTTCAATCACCTCTGCTGCTGCTGCTGTTGGTTGTAAGAGAAGGCTTACATACAGTAACTATGATCAGCATTGCCCTTTAAAAAAAAATCGAAAAGATTGATGGGTGTTTTTCGATTTGGATTATAGTTTCGATTTTACTAAAAGCTGATTCTTGTTATTAGATTGGATTATAGGGTTTAGTGAATTTGATCACCAATTTATGGTATGATTTGGAGGTGATAAGGGGGGTTCCATTTCCAACAACCACCAAAAGCCTCAGCCCGTGACAACCAAGCAGAAAGTGAAAAACGGAAGTAAATAAAAGATAGCTTTTTTTTTTTCCTGTAGTGTTGTTAGAAGCTGACTAATGTCCAAAAGCAATTTAAAGAAGGAACTGAGAGATGCCAAAGAGATGTCCAAAAGGCTATTATGGAGAGTGTTGATAGTAATTTTTTTTTTTTTTTTTATTTTAATTTTTTTAGTTGTGAAGGCTTTCATGAATGCTGATATTGCTTACCCACCTTTTCAATTTGCTGTATTTCTTTATTTCTTATGTTATGATAGTGAATATGTATTTAATTAGTACACACATCTTGAAACCCTACCTTTTGATGGGAGGGCTTGGGATGCTTCCTCTATCTTTCAGAAGGCTGAAAGCCATGAGGAGGAATGAGGAATATTGAAGAGTTGTTTTTGTTTGATTTGATGCATATGTGTACCATTTGGGCCACATAACAAAGAATGTAAAAGGTGAATGTGATTGGATTTGTTTGAAAGTTGGTGTTTTGCTTTTTGATAGTAGTTGGGAAGCTTCTCTTTTACTAGTAGGTTTCACTGTGTGTTGGGACCATGAATACCCCAAAAAATCAAACTTGTGAATCAAAAACAACAGCTCATTTAATTTTGTTGATTATACTATATTAAAATTGTATACACCCGTCTCACAGTTTTCAAAATGCATCTACATAGATCGGAGACATTTTCGGACATTTCCCTTATTACTTGTATTAGTTAACGAGCAAGCAACTTCATTGTTTGAATACTCCTCAACAGACTTGTTTGCTTATTTCAGAAGAAGATGAAATTGAAGGAAATTTTCAGCCTTCAAGCAATGTACTTATTATCTTCTTGTTCTTTAAGCGGACCTACACTTAAATATACCTTTTTAAGAGTAGGAAGAGAGTGGCCACTAAACATCATTTTCTATAAACCATTTGAAGCCATTCTTGAATTTGCTTTCAAATGATACCCAAAAGTATAGCTTTCGCAGACGCATGAATGCTGATATACGCTCCTCTCCACTGCCCTGGAGTTGTAGGACCCCCAACCTTTCATCCTTTTGAATGGGAGTGGGGGGTTCACTGATTCATTGCTAATTTGGTATCAAGGGCTCCATCTCCACATGGCTTATGGGGCTTGATTTCTAGCCTGGCAACCGTACGATTTTTAGCTTACAATGACTAGCATGGTGGTGTCGCTCAGGAGAGTCCTACATTGTTCTTTTTAAGTGTGTCCCTTCTTCAAGAGTGAGACCACACAGTTCTCGGGTCCTGTGGATTGGGATTCTATGATATAGATATGCCAATTACCAGTCAAAAGATATATTTCTGGGTCACCTACCAATCAAGATCATACTGTTAAGGATGCACATTTTTTGGGTTGTATCACATACAATTTTCAGCAACAAAAGAAGCAACATGGTGAGTAGGAGAAAAGTTTGAGAAAGGGAAGTGTAACAAGTCGAATAAAAAGTAGGTGAATAATTTGAGTATAAAAATAAAAAAATAATTAGGGAAGTGGGCGAAAAAAAAAACATTGACAAAATAGAAAAGGGCAAAAATTATGAGAAGCAAAATTAAAAAATACTAAAATTATGAGGCAAATATATGAGAGCCGCATATGACACGTGTAATGATACTGTAGACGACTGATTAAAAATATGTGCAACTATGTTGTCACAATATTATGTAATGATGCACTATTATAACATAACAAAACTAAGGTTTTAAGTACAGAGTATTTACCGTGGAATCAACTTTGTAGTAAATAGTAGGGTATTTATTATGAAATATGAATTTCGTAATCTTTACAATAGAGTATTTACTATGGAAATAATTTCATAGTACTATGATAAGTCATTTATGAGAGGGTGTTCTTGGGGTTACTTATCTTGAATTGCATATAAGCTTTCTCGCACAAATAAATGTATTGCAGAAGTTATGCAAGTTATTTATTTGTTTATTATCATTTGTACTGTGTTCATGGAATTAATTCATTCGAATATAACTAATTTTCTACAATTTTAACTTTTAATAGTAACAATTTCATGCTATCGAATATAACGTTTAGTGCATGAGGAACACCTAATGATTGCTACCAAATTATCTTATTGGTTCTGTATCGGAACAGAGAACCTATGCTGCAAAAACACTCCACACCTAATTTGATTTGGATTGAATTAATTAAGAAATCACTTTTCTGTGGCTACCCACACTCGTATGACCCACGTGCATAGCACCCTGCCACCCCCAGTATGTGCAGGTGTGCTAAAGAATAGACTCATAAAACTTCTCAAATAAGGTGGACTAATTTTAAAATGGACTAATATTATTTTATTTATTTTTTTATTTTTTTTTGGTGGGCTAAAAGTAGTATAGTAAAAAAAAATATTTGGGGTGGGCTTCAACCAAGCCCGCCCCTCCCTTCACCCTTGCACACATGACATGAGAATCCATGCAATGGACCTAAAATAAGTGTGGCAATAGGACTTCAAATGTTAACCCATATTGTTTTCAGGTGTATAGTTGTGTTGGTAGGGATTCGGGAGATTAGTCCTTGAGATCTCGCTTTCGAATCGCACTCCTGATTTGAATGATGCGTGTATTATGGAGCCAATACACCTGCTCTAAAGGGGAAAAAAAAATAAAAATTGTTAACCCATGTTCTTCTCCAATATGATGAGAATCCTTACAGAAGTTAAAATGGTGTTGATTCAATTGCACTTGATAACATAAAATTGTAAAAATGAAAGAAATTTGGACTACAAGCCTCCACTTCTTAAAGGGAAGTATCATAAATTGAATTATGTTCATTGTGACACATTCCTTAACATCGCTGGTAAATCTCTCTTAATTATCTTCTGCTTGCCTTGATTCCAATGATTTATCTATTTGGCTAATGCTTTTGTTTCGTATTTTTTGTTTTTGTTAGTGTACTGTAGCGAACCAAAAGCACAAGCATATTTGGTAACGTTTGTTGTCATTTGAATAGTACCGAAGCGTTTCTGAAATTGAGGTTAAAATCAGAAGCATAAAAATGATACTTTGTTTACTTTCGCATTGTAGAAAAATACTATTAAAAAAAATTAATCTAAAATGACATTTTTAACTGCCATTCAATTTTTTAAACTTGCAATATTTTTTACCAAACTTGCTTTCATGTTTTTACTTTCAAAAATCTTGCAGCAAATTTACGTTACCAAATAAGTTTCGAAATAGTGTTGGAACACACTTTAAAGTAGAAACATTACTTTTCCTTCGGGTAAAAGCAAAAGCACGAAATAAAATCGATTGTCAAACGGGCCCATGTGTATAACAGTTGTTGTCGAGGCCTTATTGGGATTATATTGTGATATACATGCTACACTTATCTTGTTTATCATCTGAGCATGATTGTAATGGTGATATAAGGTTGTGAGATTGATTTCAGAATTTTTGGGACACGAATTTTCCATTTTACCCTCAAACCCTAGTTTCTGCAGAAAGGGTTCTAGAGGCTACAGATTGTTGTTTTGAGCTACACAACTCCTCTTATTATTTGTATAAGCTTGAAAATAGCTCTTATATATTCTTTTCAATGTATTTGGTGAGCTGTGAGAGCTTGTAGGGTCCTAAGCACCCAATGTGTGCCACGGCAAGGCTAAGGCTGCACACCTTGGCACTTGGCATCCGGATGCCCAGCCTTGCGTCTACATTACAATGGGCCATAGCCAATATAGTGAAACACCAAGACATGCAACAAAAATTATTCCCGAAGGTTATCCCATGAGAGATTTAGGAATTTGAATTCTCCCTCTTATCGCTAAGACGTACCAAGCCCGGCTCGGATGGTTAACCGGTCAAGGCACAACGCCACGCGTTGCCACCATTTCTTAGCGTGTGTAAGCGCTTATAGGAGTGTGTGGGGTGCATGGACGAGTGTGGGGGCTGGTTCTTGGCTCCTACAAGTGCACAGGACCTTATGGTGGACCTCTAGATTTGTTTTTATGATTATTTTGTGCTATTTTCGCTCGTTAAAGAGTAAATTATTACCCAAAAGTGGATTTTAAAATTATTATCCATTATTTAAAGATAGTGGGAGATAAATGGGATGCAATAATTATAACACTTAGTAGTTATAGCATTTAAATATTAAAAGCTAAGTCCATTGGTTATTTAATTATTTATTTGCTTCTGTGTTTCATTTATTTATTTAATTATATGATATATGAAATGTATGGAATATATAATTGCTAATTATTATTATTCATACATTGGATCTATGATATTTATTTAAATGACTTGATTTATATTAATTAAATTATGCAAATAAATTGGACTTGATTATTAATTAATTAGAGGGCACTTAAAGAGGGAAATGAAAAATTATTTTTATTTTTAAAAGTGTGACTCAAATTAAATATTAATGAATCATTTAAAGTCCAAATATTTTCTAAATTTAATTGGATTAAAATCAAAGCGTTTTGCATGCATTATATCATGTATGTGAATAAATTGAAAACCCTAATTATAAATGATTAAAAATTGAGTGGGAGCGGGAATTTTTATACATTACCCCATGGCCTTCGTTATTATAACCATTATAATTAAATCTTTAAAAATAAGGCTCTACGCATGATTTGAAGAGTCTAAAATTACAAAATTAGTTGTCTCATGAAAATAAAAATTCTCTTACCTTATTCCATCTTATCTTTCTACATTGCAATTCAATTTTGTTTTAAGCACTTAATTACATTTTAATGCAAGTTACAAACAAACCAATCAAACAATCATCTCTCTTGATTTAAACCCGAAATTAATCTTAAAATCTTGGTTGCCATAAGCTAGCAATCTTCGTGAATCAACAACCCTTTATGTAGTCGTACTATACATAGACTCATGCTATTGCGGAGGAAAATCTCTGCTTGAGTATGTTTGCCTTAGCTGCTTTTCTTGCTTTAGTGGCTCGACCTTCGTTACATGGGGTAGTTAAGAAAGTTTAATGGACTTGAACATTGTACGACCATCTAAAAATATATATATATATATTCAATTAAAATTCATGCCTTGGAAAACGATTTCAAAAGACAAGTTAAGGATATGGAAGCAATGATATGTGCCATGGAGGGGTTAGAATGCATTAAAATAAATAATAAAATAAATATTCTAGTTCAACGAATTTGGCTCATAGGAAACTCCTTTAAAATTATGTTGCCCTATCCACAGTTGAGGCTGAGTATGTTGCTACTAGCAATAGCTGTGCATAGACCCTATACATCAAACAACAACTCGAAGATTTTGGACTAATGTTTGATCAGGGTACTATGGTCATTTCTCATTAAAATAATATTTTAAGGCCCAACAAGGGCAAAATGGCCATTTAAATATAATTATAATGGTTTAAGACCCAAAAGGGTAAAACAGTCATTTACTAAGGTCATCTAATGATTTTGATGAAGTCAGGGGGTAATAGGGTCATTCATGTGGTTAAAATATAATTAATGTGTTTTATTGGGCCATATAGTAAATACTCGCAATTTTAAATGGGTGATAAAGGATTATTAGGGAAATTAAATCACAAATGTGTAAAACAAGAATCGATCGACGTGTGAAATGATCACGAGATGAGGACAGGTAAACTTAGGTGGTATAACATATACAAAGGAGACCTATAGATGCATTGGTAGAATAACAAGACTTATTTGCAGAAAAGGTAGATGATAGCGGGAGACTAAAATTAGCATGGGATGAAATTATTAGAAATGATTGTAAAAAGTTAAATATTTTAGGAAAGACATTTTATGGTTCAATAGGGGCTTGTGACTTGAATTAAATAATGTCTGAAAGAAGGAGAGAGGAAGCTCCAAAGGTGTAAAACGAATAAAGGAGTCAATGACGAGATATTTCAACCACTCACTAACAAATTTACCTTTTGACTAGGTGGAGGAGACTCCTTTATTCATTTTACATCTTTAGAGCTTTCAGTCTCCTTCTTTTATACATTATTTAATTCAAGTCTTTTCTGCAAATTCCCTCAATTTGAAATGAATGTGTGTTCCTTTTTTTCACAAAGACCTTAGCAAGATACAGAGTCAATGACGAGAACCTTTAACCACTCACTAACAAATTTATCTTTTGACTAAGTGGATACTCCGTATTCGTTTTACTCCTTTAGAGCTTCATCTCTCATTCTTTCAGACATTATTTAATTCAAGTCTTTTCCTCAAATTCCCTCAATTTGAAATGAATGCGTGTTCTTTTGTTTTTTTTTTTTCTTCATAAAGACCTTAGCAAGATACCGAGTCAATGACAAAAACCTTCAATCACTCACTAACAAATTTACCTTTTGACTAGGTGGAGGAGACTCCTTTATTTGTTTTACACCTTTGGAGCTTCCTCTCTCCATCTTTCAAACAATATTTAATTCAAGTCTTTTTCACAAATTCCCTCAATTTGAAATGAATGCATGTTCCTTTTTTTCACAAAGACCTTAGCAAGATATCGAGTCAATGACGAGAACCTTCAACCACTCGCTAACAAATATACCTTTTGATTAGGTGGAGGAGACTCCTTTATTCGTTTTGCACCTTTGGAGCTTTCTCTCTCCTTTTTTCAAACATTATTTAATTTAAGTATTTTTTGTAAATTCCCTCAATTTGAAATGAATGTGTGTTCTTTTTTTTTTTTTCTTTTCACAAAGACCTTAACAAGATACAGAGTCAATGACGAGAATCTTCGACCACTCACTAACAAATTTACTTTTTGACTAGGTGGAGGAGGCTCCTTTATTCATTTCATCTTTGGAGCTTTCTCTCTCTTTCTTTCAGACATTATTCAATTCAAGTCTTTTCTGCAAATTTCATCAATTTGGAATGAATGTGTATTCCTTTTTTCCTTTTTTTCTAATGGATGGATATGTTATACTATTGAACAAGAGTTTCTTTGTTGATAAAATAATGGATTGTTCATTACATAATTATAAATGTTATAAGGTTGTGTTTTGCGGCTTGGAACCGGTGAAATTAGAGAAAATTTTGATTCAATTTTTTAAATTATTTTTATCCAATTTCAAAATTTCAATTTCATGCATACCAAACATAGTCTAATTGATTTTCAATTTGGCACTTTAGCAACACTATCTTAGCAAAGCATTTTGAAGTTTTCACTATCACTTTATGCCATAATTGATTATTAAATATACTTTCCAACGGACAAATAAAAAGAGGTCATTCTGCAATATTGTGTAGAATGATAGGAGATTATAATATATTTTATATGTAATAAAATGTATAATATATTATAATATTATAAATTAATTATAATATAATATAGGTATGGTATATAATAATAATATAAAATATCTTTAGCATAATAATTTATTAATATTATTTAAAATATATAATAAATCATAAATATTTTTGTCTCAAAAAATATTTACCACTATTATATAATATATATTATATATTAAAAATATATCTTTTATTACTATATAATATGTGGTATCATTATTTTATTCATGTTTTCTCTTTTTTTTTCACAAAGATAAAAAATGTTTTCTATTATAAAAAAGTAAAAACTTATTGGACATGATTTTTAATTTTATTTTGCTTTTTCAACAATTGATAATAAAAAATAAATAATAAAAAATGTTTTGTCTTACTGAACTGCCACCCTAGGTTTTCTCCCTTTTATTCATCCAAATCTCTCCCTATTTATACACTGTTCTCATAGGAGAGCGTATTGTAAATCTATGGAGCCACCCACACCCTATTTTTACTTGTTGGAAAATTCTGAACGAGCGCCACACTCAAATTCAAATATAAAATTTCTGTAAGTAGCAATGTTTGTTTGCTATTAAAATAACAACCGAATCATAGCTAACATTCTCAACCCTATACCTATATATTATTCGTCTGTCACTTGGAAAAAAATTATTATACGTAACATTACCACTCTAAATAAAAATATATATATATATATATATGTATGTGTATATATATATATATATATACACAATTGTATGGGAAAATCAGTGACTGGCTCTAATGGAGAAGAGACTTCGCTCATCCCTCCAGACCTCCGCCGAAGAGTTCCTGTCATCTGCAACAAAATTAGGGTTCAAATCTGCAAAACCCTCACTCAAAACCCTAATTCAGAACCTTGCCCCATCATCTCATCTCTCCTCTTCACTCCCTTTCTCTCTCCGCCACTCCATTTCTCAATCCATCACTCGCTTCAAACAATTATCCCAACCTACTAATGCCAATCCCACTGTGTCTCCCAAATCACCGCCGACGAAGCGGCTTAGGAGATCTTCGCGAAATGTGAAGAACACAGACGATTCGGGTATAAAGGATCGCGAAGCTAAAATTGTTTATGACAAGCAATGTGTGATTCAAAGTCTTCAGATTTACGCTTATATGGCACTTCTATGCGTTTCTCATCCGACGAAGGCATTCTCGCCTTCGGACTTATTGCCGGCGGTTCAAGAATTGCACGATAATTTGATTCTGTTCGAGTCGGAATCGGTTTTATTGTCGGAGATTGCGAGTTTGTGCGAGGAGTGGTGGAAGGAGCAGTTGCCGGGGAGAGAAACCCTAATTTCGCAATTTCTTCCGTTTTTGTTATCGAGGTCACTGACATTGAAGAAGAAAGTCGATGTGCATAGGGTGTATGTGCTTCGTGAGGCGTTTACTTTGTTTGACTTTGAGGATGAGAGCATAGAGGACTTGAAGCTCTTGCTTGTTCGGTGTCTGATCACGCCTTTGTATTTGAAGACGGAAGATGGGAGGCGGTTCTTGGGGTTTATGTTTGGGTTAAATGGGCAGCTGGTGAAGGAAGCACTGGCGATGATTCGGTCTCAGATTCACTTTGAGCGGAAGTCTATGTTGGAGGCCTATGCAGATATTGTTTTCCGGGCTTGGAAGGTTGCAGAAGGGGTGTCACGGGATGAAATTGAGAATGGTTTTTTGCAGGGATTGGTTGAGGGGGCAATATATGCTAGTTCAGCGTCATTTGCTGCATCAATAAGGAGGGTCTTGGGGGGTTTTGTCAACCAGCGGACAACAGATGGTGTGGAGAGACTCCTCTTTCGCCTTGCTGAGCCTGTGATATTTCGGTCACTACAGGTATGCTTCTTTTTTTTTCTAGCACATTTGTTGCTTTTGTGAAAAGCAAACTTTAAATCTAGTAATCAATTGGGTATGTGCAAGTATGTATATTTTTCATGTTTGCTTGGTTGCTCAATTGTGGCATTTTCTATATTTTTGAGACTGCAAATTTTTTTTTGCTAATCTGCTATCAGAGGATAAAACAACCTTACCCATAAATGTATTTGTGCGTGATCAGAAGTTATGGTCCATTTTGACACTGTTGCTTACCATTGGTCATTGCAGAAGGGCAAAACTAATCTAATGGATATAGATTAGGGCAGAGGATAAAATAATTCTTTCTTTCATTACAACTTGATAGCTTAATAGGCTTTCTTATTTATCATTCTTGCATCACAATCATATTTGATTGCAGGAAGTATAGGATCACCGGAGTTTCATATTATCAGTTGTTATGATAATTTCATGAGCCTTCTTATTTTGAGCTCAGAAAAAGAAAAAGAAAAAGGCTCCACAACCCTGTGAGGAATGAACAGCTTCGACACTTGTTCATGCTCGAGTAAATGTCTAAATGGGTAATAACAACCGGCTAATATAAAACTTGCTAATCATAATCATAAGTTATCAAGATTCAAGAATCAAGATATCATTCACATACTTCATTTTGATAGATTAAATATAAATAACACGTTGTAAATAAATATTTAATTAATTGCATTGCACTTTCACTCCTATAGGTATAAGCATCTGAGAATGGAATGATAGGATCAACTATACAAGTGTACCATACCCGATTGGTTGTTTTATTTAATACTCTTTGCTCTCTCTCTTCTCTCAATATGTATTTACACGTCCGGACTCTGATAAATCTGATTGGGTTGTGGGATCTTGCTATACCAAAATTATTTTGTGATGCTACCATCAAATAAATCTTTGCTCTCTTTTTCTCTTATCTTTTCTTGGCTTGACATGGCTTTATAGTATTCGTTATGTTTTCAATTATTTCAACTTGTGAGTTAATTGATCTATCAAAAAAAAACTTGTGAGTTAATTGATTAAATTATCTGATCAAGGTAATTTTTTATGTTGCTACCAATTTTTGGGCAGGTTGCAAACTCAAATGTTCGTCAAAATGCATTGCATTTACTTTTAGACTTGTTTCCTCTTGAAGATCCTGATTCCATAAAGGAGGTTAAAGATACATTGCTTGACAAACAGTTCTTTTTATTGGAGAGATTACTTGTGGATGAATGTCCAGATGTGAGAGTCATTGCAGTAGAAGGCTTTTGTCGCATTCTTCATTTGTTCTGGGAAATTATCCCTTCATCAACCATTACAAAGGTAATCACCAAAATTTTTGATGACATGACACATGATACATGCAACGAGGTCAGGGTTTCCACATTGAATGGTATTACATATATGCTTGGCAATCCTCAAACTCATGAGATTCTCAAAGTGCTTCTACCTAGATTGGGCCATCTCATTCTGGATTCTGCACTTACGGTACGATCTGCTCTTGTGGATCTCCTTTTTATTTTGAGAGATATACGATCTTTTCAGTTTCATAAGGTACATATTCAACTCTGTATTATCATTGGCTCTATTGGTTGCCTTTCTTCCTCATAGTTTATTAATCTCTCTCTCTCTCTCTCTCTCTTTAAGGTGGTGCGCTTAGATCTACTATTGTCAACCCTTGCAAATGATCAACCTCTAATAGCTCAGAAAATTACTAAACTACTACTACCATCATATTTCCCCTTGAAAGTTACTCTGGAAGAGGCATGCAATCGATGTGTCGCCCTTATAAAAAGGTCTCCCATGGCTGGAGCAAAGTTTTGCGAATTTGCTTTATCAGAAGGGGCATCTCTGCAGTCTCTCATGGAACTTGTCAAAGTCTTCATCAGTTTGGCTCTGTCACCTGGCATGCTGGATGCAAAACAGATTGATGGGTTACTTGTCGCAGCTGCCTATCTTTGCAAGAATCTGGCGGACGAGGCATCTTACAAGGCTGCCCTTAAGGCGTTGTTGTCTGGAGAAAAGCTGAAGTCCTTGTTTGGTGCTGCAGCTACTAAGCGTGCTCAATCTTCTGTATGCGACATTGTTTCGATCATCTATCCAGATGATGTAGGGTGCCTTCTCGAAGAATGCTTGGCCTTGGTCACAAATTGTAGTGGTTTTTCTGAAAATGCGGAAAGGCAAGCTGAAGTAAGATCTGCCCACAGGATGATGCTGTCCTGTAACTGGTTTGATGATATGTTTGAAGCTTTAACAAAGCTCTTGCAGAAAACTGCCTATGGATGCCATATCAAATTTGGCACAGAAATACCAAAGCACAACGTTCCCTCAGTGAAGCGGATGAAACTCAAGTCCTCTGTCAAAATTTCAGCGAAACCGAAACGTGTCAACGGAAAAAAGTCTTCCAACACAACAACATCCATATTCGAAGAGGATTATCTAATTTCTGTAGAAATAGCCTGGCAAATAAAAGACATGCTTATATCTGAAGACACACGGAAAGCCATGTTAGGGTCTCCAATTCTAGAAGTTGCATTATGTGCTTTAAAGGTCATTTCTGAGGTCAGCATTGTGCAGTGCATGCATTGTGATTATATGGACACGTCTCCAGTTTTGGCATACACGGCTCTGACTTTGCATATGTCTCTTCAAAATGTTGGCATAAATCTTACAAACAATCGTCGTTCCAAGGAAAATGCTTGTCTTGATTCTGCAGGGTCATCTTTGGAGGCAAGTGATGTTTTCATCGTTCACATTTTTATTGAATTATTATTTATTTATTTATTTATTATTATTATTATTATTATTTTGTTTTCTTTTGGGTAAGGAACTAGCCAATACATGATACCGTATGACCTGTTTTACTGCCTAAGAAACATCTTGTATTTTCCTGTGGTGTCTTACACACTGATCTATTTTTCATTGTCATATTATATCTGCCTGTACCAACGGCTCAGTGGCCGAGTGGTATCAGCCTCTTACCTCCCAAAGGGAGGTCAGAGGTTCAAGTTTCAAAAGAGACAAGTGTGTGTGAGTACCAACTAGGAAAAAAAAATTTATATTTGCCTGTCAACCACATGATTGGCTGCTTCTCACCTGTCTCTCCTGATTTGCATAGATACTTCTTGTTCATTGTTCCTCTATTAATTTTAATTGCCGCATGGGAATATGGACAAGAACTTGCTTGCATGCTTATTTGACTGACACGATCATTGCACCTCCTTGTGCTACTTCTGATAGGTTTTAAAAATAAATGTGAGTATAAAGTAGGATAATGGAACTTCTTCTTTATCTATGTACCATTTGAATTCTTATAATTGAACGACTTTGGAAGGGTATCTAAACGTAATCTAAGTTTTCGTGTCTGGAAGACATCAAAGGTTTCTGTTTGGAATGCATTCTTGATTATGTATATGACAAAGAAGTCCAAAGCCACAACCAATACCAACTCCTTTTACTATTCTGGTTTGTTATAAAATGTTTGTGTGGCATCTGGTCATCAAATTTTTTTTATCAGCAAATATATTGCATTTGAAGTGTGTTTGAAGTTTGAACCTTGTAACATTTTAGTATCAAGCTTTTTCTTAAAATTATATCATTTAATATCCGGATACAATCATTTCCATTGCAATTCTATAGTTGTTCGTTCAGTTCTTTGTTCACCAACTTAATGTTAGTTTTGTAACTTGCCTTGTGTTACTGATGTTCATGCAATCATTTTTCTTTTTCCTTTTTCAGCTACCTTTGTTGGACCAGACAATGGATCATCTACTCAAATGTACAAATAAGTTATTTGTAGCAGGTGACTCTGGAAACTGTAGTGAAGTGCCTTCAGTATCGAAGCAGGATACCAACAAGACATCCCGTCGTTGTGGCCAAAAGCACAAAGAATCTCAAGAGGATGCTTCCAACCCTAGTGACGGGGGTAGGTGATTATGGAGGGGAAAGAAATGCATAGATCACTTAATCATAATGTTGTGAATAAATCACCTATACTATCTCTTTAAACTAGGTCCTGTGGATGCTGACATATTGGTTTTGACTTTTGAGTAAGCTATAAAAATGCTGCTGGAGCTGAAGCAAACTGGCTTCTTCCTGCCTCAGCTCTTGTTGCTCTCTTGCTTGACTCTATACAACATATACAACCATTAAAAGGGCCCATTTTGATACTAAGCTTAGAATGGACACATGGTGATATCTACCAACTTCCTTTGGACCTACCAAATTCCCATGGAATATTTTGCTTTTTTATCCTTTGGAAAATGTTCCACCACCCAAAGTTCTTCACTTGCAGAATTCTTAGTCCAACCTCTCTGGATAGTAAGTATTATTTAAAAGTAATGAACTGATGAGAGCTGGGTGGAAAGAAAATTTTGTTTTGGTTTATATTTAAGGATGGTCCACGCAAGTGTCATAATGGTTTGCTCTGATATTTGTTGGTCCCTTCATTGTCCATGCTGACCCAAGACAATGAATCAGAACAAATCATTTGGTTCTACATGTTGGGCACCTTGGCAGTTTTCATCATCCAGCTTATCAGTCTTTCTCAATTACTGTTTATATAAGAATTGCATGCGCACTGTCTTTCACATTCTCAAATTCGGTTTCATCTTTTTTAGTGGTTTGGGTTTACATTGTACTACTTTTTATTTTTATTTTTTATGCTTAAAACTGTTTTTCTTCAAGTGTTATTATACTTAATTGAGCTTGGTTATTTGACCAACATGTAGGATCCATTTGCACTAAACAAAAGAGGATATCAAATGTGGTGAAGATGCCAACTGCAGTTCTCAAGTTCGTCGTTGATGCAACTATGGTGGGACTTCTTACCCAAAGTCAGAAAAGGTGCTTGAAGTTCACACTGGGATATGTAGAATTTATAATCTCCAATTTAAGGGGACATTCATGTAACCAGCCGTTGGTCGAGGAAGATCTGAAAGATGCATTTCTCTGTCTGAAGAGCTCCATCACCTATGCAGCCAAGTTACTCAATCTTGTCCTTATAAGTTCAAGCAAAGATTCACCACCTCCACCAGAAGTTTACAGTCTTGCTAATGATCTGCTTGATCTAATCATTTCAATTGAACTGTACTTGGGCTCTGGTTATGCAGCACGTCTTGTTGCTGCAATGCAACCGTGGCTTCCTGACTTGGTTTTGGCATTGGGATCCAACCACATATTGAGACAGACTCGGGAAGAGAGGACTTGTACTGCTGCATTTGATCATTCCAAATTCCCTTCTCCATTATGGTCCTCCATTTTAGCAAAGATCGAACTCCATGAAATAAATAAAGCTGGCTCAGATGAGGAGGGTGATGGAGTTCCTGAACCACTGGAGTTTTCTGCATTCAATAAGCTTGTGAAAATGATGGTTGTACTATTGAGAGAAAATACTAATGTATTAGATGCAGTTGGAGTTACTTTCTTGACTGGTTCCATAGTTGGCCTGGAAAAGATGGACTTTGAATTGGTATTTGGACTCCTGCACTTTGTCTGTGTGAAGTTAGTGGGAAATGAACTCGGACGATGGGGAGAACTTAGTTTGATGCTGGCATCTCTGCATGATATTTACCCTCGAATAGAGAAAGAAGCTGAGGAGATAAGCAATGGTGAGGACCAGAGGCAGAAATTAGAGAATATAAGGGCATTGCTTGAACCTGTATGGATGTATTATATTTATGGAACTGGTAGCGATCCCATGACGGAAGAGTAGATGGAGTTTTTGTTAATTATATGGAAATTAATGGAAAAGTTTAATTCTTGAAATGCTTAAAGGGAAGACACTACATTGTGAAGAACATGCCATGAGGTTTTGTACTTGCTAAAGAATCCTCAACTCTTTGGCCTTGAAGAGGCCAATTGGAATGGTTAGAAACACTTGGTTCTTTTCTGTTTTTGGTACTTTCTCTACTTCAGATGTATGTATTATATTGATGCCAAGGCTTTGGATAACAGTACTTCATGTACGTTTTAAAAGAACGTGGAAAATTTTGGTGTTGACAGTGGAAATCAATCATCATCAATTGCAACTTTGCTCTTCATATTCCTCCAAGGTGGTTCCCTCAGTTTTTTTGCTTCTGTAGTTCTTTTTGGTTCTTGCTCGATTATAAACTTCATGTACTGAGAAACATTGATTTCACAGGATTTGAAGAGGTTATTTTCATTACCACTTCCCAAAAGCCAACCCTATAGAGTTATGCTCTATTCGGTACGAAAGAAAAAAATTGGATGGAAGGGAGAGAAGAAGGGATGGATGAGACATCGCTAGGGAAGAAATTGTGTATTTCTTTCTTTTTGTTCGGTTGGATAGAAGAGAAGAAAAACTCACAATTTACTATGTTCATTAAGAGAATGAAAGAGAGAGTTTTAATTGTTTTTTTCATATAAAATTTATAATATTGTAATTTATAGAAGATAGTACTGTAATTTAAAAATTGTATAATTTAAGATAATAATTAATTTAAAACTTCTGTAATAAGCCTACTTGTCTTCCTTCTTTTCTTACGCTCGTTTTTGGACGGATGAAAATTTGTAGAGGAAGGATGGATCATCCTTCCTATTCTCCATCTTTCCTTGTATTATTTCTACCGAACAAAGAAAATTTGTTCTTTTTTATTTTATCTCCACATTTCTTTCTTCCTGCCAAACACAGCATTAGTAAGAAGTGTGAGGTGAATGTCATGTGAATAAGCCAGAGGAGTTGAGAAAAAGAAGAAGAAATCAAACATTTTTTCTTTTTCTTTTTCTTTTTTTTTTTTTTTTTTTTTTCATGATAATCTCTTGCTAGCTCTATCCAAATAGTGCAAACAAGATCTTGAAAAGTTGAGGAGCTTAGGTCAATGGAAAAAGCTTGGTATGTCATGAGGGAGGATTGAGAGAGCCCTCTCACTTATCCAGTCTAGAACTGTGGCTTCAAGCACTGATTCTGTGTGTGTGGCTCACCAATTCAGTGAGATCCTTCAGTAGAAGGTTTTTTAAACTTAAAATGATTAAAATACCTTTGGATCTTGGTATAAAGGTTGATGCATCGATTGATATTCTTTTGTTTTTGATGATTGTGAAGCTATGGTTACTGGGTGTGCAAAAGGTCAATTGATTGCTGGTGTGGGTAGGAGCAGAGAGGTCAGTGGCATCAGTTGATCATATCAAAACCCGGAAATAGATTCTCTCCAAATCTATCATCCAACATATCAAAACCCGGAAATAGATTCTCTCCAAACCTATCATCCAACGGTTATAAACATGTCGCGGTTGCATGTTCATAATCATTGAATGATGTGTTGAAGATACTTGGAGATTAGCATTAGATACTACTGAAACGAACATTTAGTGATGGTTTACCGGCTTTCAGATTATGAATGCAGACATAATTTCTCTCTACATGTTGAATAAATACTTCAATTTCAAGTATTATCTCATCAGAGTTATGTAAACTACACAGCAAATCTTCTTGTATTTCTAATAGAAAGCCATATTACTGCAACTTTATACAAAAGAACGTCATAACAAGTAATAGAATGATTACATGTCAGTACAACAATAAAAATAAAGAATGATTCAACTTAAAAAACACTAAAAATATAAATATATATTAAAAAAGAAAAAGAAAAAAAAAGTGGCGGCCAGCCTGGGTACTTACCCTCCTAAACTTCAATGAAACCAAAAATAAAAAAGGAAACTTGAGATCTTGCAACTACTTGCAGTGGTGTAGTGGTGATAATTATTTTCATCGGTATTATAAACAACCAAACAGGCCTAGACATCCTTCCTATTCCAATGGCGTCCATCACTTCACAAAGCTACAAGCAATTTCTTTAAGCTAAGGCTTCTATACGTAATTTTGAAAGCTCCATTTCCAATTCACGAAGCTTACACAGGGATTTTCTTTAAGGCCGCAGCAATTGGCATGCCCAAGAATCCAATAAATACACTGAAGAACCATTGAATTAGAGTGAGGGGTGTTGTGCTTGCAAATGTGCCCAGGTATTCGATGATTATGATCTGGAAGAAGACGGTGCAACTGAGTACGCCCACAAAAACATAGTTGTCCAGTATGCCTTCGAAAACATCTATTTTCTCCATCTCTCGCGAGCTTATCTCATTGAACACCTACAAAATAAAATCAGCATAGTTGACATAAGTTAAATGTGCACATTTAAGGTTGGAAGCGGATACATCACTGAGGCTTCTACTTGTAGACCAATTGTTATTCATTCCCAGCCATCAAGTGTGCGCCCATCTAGTTATTTTGAAATTTGAACAGGAATTGTTCAACTTATAGTTCAATCAATAAACGCCTAAATATACCTTAGTATCATTCCCACCCGTGGCTGTCATCATCTACCATTCAACATGACTTGTGACATAAATAATGCCGCGTAAACGATGATTTGCAGAAAGAGAATGAAAAGAAATCTTTAAGGAATTACCTGGCAAAACACAAATGTGTTGAAGATAAGTGTATTAAGGATCAGATCAGAACCGGGGCCATCAAGACCAAATAATGCTTTCCCTTTGGTCTGTAGGAACCAGATTACCATAAACTGATACAGGGATTGCCCTAAGATATTCCTCCACATAACATTACTGATAAAATTTCCCGTCCTTCCTACTGGTGATCGTTTCATTAATTCCTCATTAGGAGGCTCAGTTGCTAATGCAAGAGCACCCAATGTGTCCATAATCATGTTGACCCACAAAAGCTGAACAGCTGTGAGGGGAGCGCTCCCTGAAGCATGATTTGGTGTAGAAGCATAAGAATGAGTGTTTACAGATATACATATATCGAATAAAATAAATAACCATAAATTTAAAATGAATATAGTAATCAAAATATGCATGTGGTCAATATGCAGGTTTTCTTACCCATTAAACAAGCTGAAGAGAAGTTCACAACCAAAGCAACCACATTAACTGTCAGCTGGAATTGTACAAATTTTTGAATGTTTACGTAGACTGAGCGTCCCCATTTGGCCACTGTCACAATTGTGGAGAAATTATCATCCAGAATAATCACGTCAGCACTTGCTTTTGCCACCTGATAATTGTGAATAAGACTAGTCAAAAATCTAGCATGTAACAAATTATTATGAAGAAACTAAACCAAGAAAAAGAAAAAGACAAAAAAGAATAGACAGCATAATGAGGTTGAAACAAACAAATACAAACACAGTACACTCTGTATCAACTATATATATTTTTTAAAAATCTCTAAACTCTTGTGAAAGGCCAATTTTTTTTGTAATGTAATTCGCTATAATATCTATTCTCAACATTGAAACCAATTTTTTTTAGTATTACTCACCTCAGTTCCAGCGATGCCCATTGCAAGACCAATATCTGCTTCATGAAGTGCCGGGGCATCATTTGTTCCATCACCAGTCACGGCAACAACTTCATTGAATGTGGTCCGCAAGTGCTTTACCAATGTGTGCTTGTCTAGAGGTGAAGATCGAGCCATCACCTATAAAAATGTAAAAACTATTAGCACACATCAGAAAAACCCTTTTCTTACCAGCTAATGTTATTGGTAAAAGAATACGAGTAGAACCTGAATTTTGGGAATTAGTTCAAGCAATTCCTCTAAACTCTTCTCCCGAAAATCTGGACCTTCTATGGCAATACCATCATCAGTGAGTATCCCACATTCCCTAGCAATAGCCTTTGCAGTATTTATGTTGTCTCCTGTAACCATTCGAACAGTAACACCAGCCGAACGACAAAGCGCAACAGATTCCTTGACACCTGGCCGAACAGGATCTTTGATACCCACAATCCCTATGCAAGTATAGCCTGAAACTGGAATAGGATTATCAGCAGAGAACCCCTTTTCCAGTTCCATATAGGCAAGACAAAGAGTCCGAAGTGCTTCACTAGCAAATTGATTTATTGTAACATTGAGATGGTTGGCAGATGCTTCATCAAGAGGAACAACCTCACCACTTGAATTGATCACCTTGTCACAAGCAGCCAAAATTATTTCTGAAGCACCTTTACAATGGGCTTGTAGACTGCCATCAGGAAGCTCAAGGACCACGCCCATTCGCTTCTTCGTGGAGTTGAATGGCTCAACTTTAACAAGGTTAATTGCCTGTCGCTCTGTCTGAAAATCCCCACCAAGTGACAAGCCAAACTCCAATAAAGCAGTCTCAGTAGGTGTTCCCAATATCTCACGTTTGCCTTCTTTGTTAACCACAATATCTCCCCCAGTGTTAATAAATATTGACTGTAGCAGAAGTTTTAATGCAGAATCTGGGAGTTCAGAGCACAGAGTAGTAGCATCATCTGATTTGCTCACTTCCTTGATATTCATACAAATGCATGATTTCACAACAGTCATGTGGTTGGTAGTTAATGTCCCGGTTTTGTCACTACAGATACTTGTGGCAGATCCCATAGTCTCACAAGCCGCCAACTGGCGGACGAGTGCCTTATCATTCATCATCTTCTTCATGGCAAATGCAAGGCTTAGGGTTACAGCCAGTGGTAGCCCCTCAGGAACTGCAACAACAACAATTGTAACTGCAATAGCAAAGTATTCCAACATTTCTAATGCATCATCTCCAGACCAACTAAAGTAGGTTCCCTCTCGCAGTTTACGGCCAAACAACTTCTGCATCAAAACTGCAAAAGTTACTATAGCAAAGAACAGACCTATCTTCCCGATAATGGTTGCCACTCCATTCAATTTGACCTGCAGTGGGGTCTCATCATCTCCCCCTTCAGAAAGTGTAGCCATCAATTTACCCCATTGGGTTCTCATCCCAACAGTGGTAACCATCATCTTGCAAGATCCATCTTGAACCTTACTTCCAGACAGCAGAAAAGGATTTTCAGCATTCACCATTACAGGCTCACTCTCTCCAGTCAAACTAGATTCATCAATTGACACAGAAAATCCTGAAACAAAAAGTCCATCCGCAGGGACTTGATCTCCAATAGCAAGATGTACAATATCACCAGGAAGTAGATCGTAGATTGACATTTTCTGCCTATATCCATCCCTTATAACTTGAACGCTGATCTTTTTCTTCTCTTTGTCCAAATCTCTGAACTGTAAAGATTGCCGATAATCACTTGTGGCTGTGACAAACACTACCAACAAGATGCTTGCAACAATTCCAAGGCCATCATGGGCCCCCTTTGGCCACCCTTCCGTTGCTACACCAACTATCAAAGAGACAAATGCACACACTGCAAGGATCATGAGAGTCATGTCTTGAAGGGCCTCCCAAACAAAAACAAAAAAACTCCTAGGTTCACTTTCAGTGAATTTATTAATTCCATAGATCTCCTGTCTGCGGTCGTTATTGCCAGTGAGCCCATTGGTGGTTGATGTGCAGAGCTTGTCTGCAATTCCAGTTGCCCCACCATGAAATTTTAGTTTTTTTAGATCATGCCCTTCGACAATGGATCCTAACTCATCACCACAAATCTGAAAACCGGCAGCTTTAACGTCTTCAGGTACAGTGTAATCGCTATGTTGCATGCCTGTAAATGAGGAGAGTTAATCTGAAGAACATTTCATCATTACAAAACAAAGCTGAGAAGTGTGAAGAACCTCACCCTGGATGAACTGAAATGCAGCTTTGGAAACCAAAACTGCTACTCTCAACTTCTCCTGCAATAAATAAGCAAGAGGGAAAAAAAATGTCAACCACTTAACTTGAAACTATCAAGACGAAATAGATAATCAATAATTTCTTTCCACCAAGGTAGTTTAGAATCTATAATTTAACTAGGACAGGAAGTAGATAAATCCAGGAACCAAATGGTAACAACAATGGGAAATGAATGGTCTAAAAATGGGCAGGTATGCAGCACTATCAAACAACTTAAGCTTTTGGGTCAGAGGACAAGCGCCCGACCTGAAGTGCAATATAACATTTTTCTCGTTTGATTGAAGAAAGTGCAATATGAGTTCCTGAAGTGATTGGTCATTCCCACTTTCCAACAGTCATCTGAACCTAGAAAAGATTGAACCTTGGTCTAATAGGAATAGTTTGATACACAAAGTTTGAGTTCTATGGAACTCTGGCACCCCACACACAACTATCTCCAAGATTGTAGCCAAACAAGAAGGGACTCAGAGGAAAGTAAGAATATTATCAAAAAAAGGCCAAAACAATTTTTATTATGTAATATTCAAAATACTTTGGAAGATAATTTTCACAAAATTTTTGACCATTCAGCTCAATTAAAGGATGGTTGGTTCCATTTGGGAAGGCTACAAAATTAGTACTGGTTTTTTTTTTTTCTTTCTTAGTTGGTACTCACACATACATGCCGCTACCGAGACTTGAACTCTTAACCTCTTTATAAAAAGTAAGGACTTGATACTACTAGGCCACTGACATGTTAATTACATGATCAGTATTGTTGTCATTCAACAAGTTCGAAATTCTACGCTGTCATTGAACACGATGTCATGTAACAATGAGAAACAAATAGCAACAGAAAACACCCAAAAACATTTAAAAATTATTACTACAAAGAAAAAAGTACAGCCTAATTGGTAGCAATTAAAGGCAGGAAAAAGCTATCATGGTAGTGCTCTGACAAGAGCTCCGGCCCTCAAAATTTTGATGGGAGGTCCCATGCAGTGCATTCTCCATCCAACGGCTTGAACTCAAGGTGAGAGTGCCCGTGTAACAAACTTACCCTTAAATGTAATAACTAGGTTGTCTGTAACTTATTTGTTTCTATAACATAGATTATTTAACATTTGCAATATTTTCCATTTCACAAAATTGTTGAACAAAACCACATTAATATTGTCCTAAAATTGTCCAAAAGAATTGGATATGACACTCGGCTTTCCTAAAAATTTAAAAATAGGCCAAACATATTTCTAGTAGTAATACCCGGAAATACAACAACACTCAACACTGTCATCCGTAATCACCAGGGATAGAGAAAAGGATAGGTGGAGGGGGTGAAGCAGTTGCAAATCCGGAAAATTTTGAATGATCTATATGAAAATTTGCAAGTGTTCAATGAGGAGATAGACATAATTCTCATGAACAAACATATGCATAGACATACATATATATATATATATATATATATATATATACACATATACCATCTATATACATACATATATACGTATAACATATGGAGAGAGCATCCATTCTTATGGAGTATTGTTTCAAACAACTATTGATTTTTTGTGCAACTCCCATACACAGTGTCCAACAAGGAAACAAGAATAGAGTCTCTCTCCTCTTACTCTTACTGTGCTTATCTTAATTGATTGGCACAAGAGTCGATAATAAAAATCAATCTATAGTCTCACTCCTCTTAGAATGTTTATTTCAATTATTGTCACATATCTCCTTTAAGGTATGTTTAAATTGAGAGAATTGGAGCGATAGTGAGAGAAAAGAAAAGAAAGGATAGTGTAAAATGTGTTTAGGTTGGTTAAAGTGAGAGAAAAGAAAGAATAGAGAGGATAGGGAATGATAGCTATCCCTCCTTATCCGTGTAGTGCTTAAATAGTATTTTAATAATTTCAAAACTGCCTTTAACAATTACAAAGAGGAAATTATTATTTCACTCATATTCTATATATTTTAAAGGATGTGATAATAATTTGGTTGTTATCATTTCTCTTCTTTTCTCCACCTCTATTATATCCAAACAGGAATATTATCCTTTCTTTTATTTTCTATCTATACAAACATAAAGCTCCTTTTGGTAAAGTGAAGTGAATGAAAAAAGAAGATTATCTGATATGCAATTGGTTAGTATGAAAATTTATCTAACAAAATTGTAAAAAAATATTACTAGTAGTTTGTTATTTTGGATAGCATGAAAGTGAAAAGAAAGTGATTTTGCATACCAAAACTACCCTCATGAATAAAAATGATGGATTATTTAATTCAAATATATAATTGTTAATATTCATTTCTATTATTTATATTTAGAATAAGACTTCATAATATTTTATTAAGTAAAACTAATTATTGCGGTAAGATAAACAAATTAAAAAAAATAAAAATTAGAGATGAAGAGGCAATACTACTGTTTAGGAGAAAAATCAAATATTTTACAATAAAAATATAAATAAATAAATAAATATATATATATATATATATATATATATATATATAAATATACGGATTATGAGTGGCTAGAATTGCAATATAGAACAAATAATTAAAAAAAATAAAAAAATTCTATTTAGAAGCCGGATCTATTTTAAGCAATTTTACCCAAATTATCATTGATATATTTTGTATATATAAGTGTATAATTTGTGTTGCGAACTTACCTCATAGAAGTTGTTTTTGGAGAGAACTTTGTACGATTAAGTTAGTGGGTAAAATAGGTTGTTTTTGGAGAAAGGTTACCTTAGAATGGAAGTTGTTTTCAAGAGAACTTTGTACAATTAAGTTATCGGGTAAAATAGGAACTGCAAATAAATAGGATTAAGTTAGTGGGTAAAATAAGTTGTTTTTGGAGAGAATTTACCTTAGAATGGAAGGTGTTTTGAAAAGAACTTTGTACAATTAAGTTACTAGGTAAAATAGGAACTGCAAATAAATACGAGCGTGAAAATAAAATTTTGGCGTGTTTTGTAGTGGAAAATTTTTGAGGGAAAATACTTAATTCAGGAAATTAAATTTTCCATTAGATTTCTCTTTCTATCTATCCAAACTCTAAAAATATTTAAAAAATTTCCCTTTCCTTTCATTTCTAACTATTTCCAGCTAACCAAACAAAGCCAAATAGAGATTATTGCTACATTTTCTTTTCTTTTCTTTTCTCTCTTATGTATCCAAACAAAGCCTTAGTGTTTACTGAATATTTTAGAGGGTTTATTTCAATGATTGTCCAGATTATTTTGATAGCAGTACTCTATTTATACTATTATTAAATATGCAAAATGTTTCAGTATTTCAGTATTTATTCATTAATATAAAAAAAAATTTATTGATTGATATAAAACTCTAAAAATTAACTAATAAAATTCAAATTACCTGTTTATCTATTTGTAATTATTTATTAATATAAAAAAATATTTATTAATTGATATAAAACTTTAAAAATTAACTAATAATATTCAAATATTTCAGTATTTATTTATTAATATAAAAAAAAATTATTAATTGATATAAAATTCTAAAAATTAACTAATAAAATTCAAATTACCTATTTATCTATTTCAGTATTTATTTATTAATATAAAAAAATATTTATTAATTGATATAAAACTCTAAAAATTAACTAATAGAATTCAAATTACCTATTTATCTATTTGTTTCTAAAAAAAATTACTTAATAAAATAAATCAAGACTTTCAAATTATTTAATAAAATTTAAATTACAAATTCCCTAATAAATCTATATTATTATTAAAAGAGTTTTTATAAAACTGTAACACAAAATGTATATCTATATCTATACTATTATTATAAAAGATAATGACATTCATTTGACCCGGCCTAGTTATGATTATGTCCTTATCAAGAGAGGACACATGTCGTCATTCTATTAATCCAATAAAGGAAGGAGGAAGGGTACAAAAATTGAGAATTGGAGGACAGAAATTCAGAGACTCATAATTTCAGAATAAAATACAGAAGTTTTGTCGACATTCATCCCAACACCCAAAGAAGAGCAATAAGTACATCCAAAGTTGTCCATTTCTGACTAACACCAGTTTTGATATTTGACATCGTCTTAGGGTGCTCCTATTTGACCTGACTACGTCTCTGTAGGTGATTCGTTCTCACCAGCTTCTTCGTGTCTACCGTAAGCACACGGCTAAGAAGCTGAAGGTCAAGAACTGGAGTCTACATCACATCCAAAGTCGTACTGCTCCTCCACAAATTCTCTAAAAACGAAGAACAACGAGCACATCTAAAATCGTATCATTCTTTCTCAAATTCAACTTCAACAAATAACAAGCATATCTAAAATCATGTCGTTCGAGATCGAGATTCGCCAGCACATGGATCCAACCAATAAAGGATTAGGGGATTGTACTAAATTTTTATAAATTAATAAATTAATTATTATTTGCTTCATATGCAAAGAATAAATCAAAGAATTGTACTCACTTTTTATAAATTAATAAATTAATTATTATTTGCTTAGTAAAAAAAGTGTTAATGCATAATAAAATATTTAATAAATCAATTGGTGCATAAAGCATTGAAATAAATCAATCGATGCATAAATAATTAATTAACCACATATTATCCTCATACTTTTTCTTTTTCTTTTTTTTTTTTTTCTTTTTTTTTTTGGATATATTAATGTAGTTAACTTATTAATGTGTATCAATGCACTAAAACGTTATCAAGTGAAATAATTTTTCTAAAAATCTTTTATTTTGAGTTTTTTTTTTAATAAAAGGTAATCTAATTAGACAAGAATTATTAATATAAAAAAATATTTATTAATTAATATAAAAAGAATTTTTAAAAGATTTAGACTATCGCATACAAAAAATATTTATTAATTAATTTTAAAATAGATCTCCGTTACATATAACTTTTGTATTTATCTATTTATTATGAGTTTTTTAATAAAAGAAAATATAATTAGATAATGATATAGATAAATAAAATAAAGTAATTTTAAAATATATATAAAAAATTTTTTTACAAATTACAAAACATTTTTACTAATATATATATATACACACACACACATATAAACACGCATTAGCGGAGATATCAATGAGAAAGAAATAATATTTATATAGCGACTACCGATTGGGGGTGGGAGAAAGAAACCTGATTGGAACGGCGCATAGCGGCAGCTTCGTAACGCTTGGAAAGATTGGCGGTGAATCGAAACCTGCGCTTGGGGTTCTTCACCACTCCACATAGGTTCCTCCATTTCTGCAATGCCTCGTCCGAAGAATTTTTGGACTTCACTGCCCTAAAATCCTCATTCAAATAGCTCTCCATCCGTATACCAATTCTTTCTTACTTTACCAACAATGGAAGAAACAATATCACAAGTACTAATTCTTTATTTCTTGATTTTGAATCAATCTATCAAACCCTCGCATTTAATATATATACAACGACTATTTTGACTTGACAATTACGACGAAACATCCTATGAAGGAAGATTCCATCTTAGTAATGAGCATTATTGTTCCGATGGAAAGGAAGTTTCAATGCAAGTGTTCGGAAGAAAGTAAGAAAAGACGGTACTATTTTATTTCACATCTTATTCTCTAACTTTCTCTCCCTACCTATAACACGTAAATCTGTGGCTTAATAAGCTATAAAGCAACAGAATCAACTGTGAGGAATGAAGTAGAAGGGGAGGGGAAGAAGGGGATGGAAATTGAAGATCCGAAATTTAGGTTAAACACTTGGAATTGGAGCCAATCTCAACCGTCGTAGAACGAATCTCGGGTTTTAATAATAATCAATAATCAAATTGTTAATTAATTATTCTCTTACTTTATTTTATGCTTATGCGTAAACGCCGCGTAAAGTGTTTGACGCGGCATTTCACGCGGTGCTTTTTATAACCCACCCGTTACTCTCCCATGAGTACAAGCCATTATAATTGAAGACACTGACGTTTTTGCTTTTTGAGAAGTTTAATGTATTTAACGATTTTGATTGGTTGTTGAGAAAGTACAAGGTGAAAATTAAGTTCAGAACAAACGCAATAATGACACATGGCAGCTACAAGGTAGTTTTCTAGTTTGTGGCATTTTATAATAAAATGTTTACTGTTTGGGGTCTGTTTTGTCCTCTTATTTTTTTAAAGGTTTTTCGTAAACTTTGCAGCGAGGGTGAAAAAGCAAAAACAGTTGGATGAAAACTATTTGAATTCACATCGAAACTGTCAAAATGTTTGACGATAGCAGCAGTCAGAAAACATAGTAGAAAACACAAACGAAACATCCAAGAACGGGCGATACTAATTAAAGAGTCACCTCTTATTTTTGATAAATAATATAATAAAAGAGTCCTTGTGTCTTCTCCATCTTTGGTTTTCTTCCTTTTTCTCACACTGACCAGAAAAGTAACGTAATAGATGTATTTTCCTCCGTTTTCTCTCTCCTGCTAACTTTCCTCTATTTGATTCCATCATTATTGATACCAGTTTGCATGAAAACTCCTTATTCTCTTTCTATTAATTGTTTTGGAGTAAAGTACAAAGACCTTGTGAGGTTTGAAGAAAGGTCACCTAGATAAAAGTTAAAAGTTAGTTTATTTTTAAATAAAGACATTTCTTTAAATTTAAAAATTGATAAAAAAATCTTGAATATGGTGAATTGGCTTTATTATTTTTTTAATATAAAATTAACATTTTAATTGACTTAAATACACTTAAATTAAATCCAAATTCATCTCCAACCCGAACCCACCTATGTAAGAACCCTATCCCCTTTTCTCTCTGTATGTGTGTGTATATATATATATACACACTGCATCTTCATCACCCCTGAGCCGCCGCCGCCGCCTGATCATCATTATTCTCATGTGGTGGTGCTTGAACACTCTACAGCTCCTCTTCGGCGTCTTCCAAGTAGCCGCAAAAGGTCTGGACGTTCTTGTCGGACTCGACGACCACCACGATCTCACCGGTAGAATAGGCCATGAAGAAGAGAGATGAAGGCACCCAGCGATTCCACCGTCGGCCAATTGGAGTTCAAAGCAGTGGACCTGTTGGTGTTGTGTTTGAGGTCTTCGTCGGCCAATCGGAACATCTCGGAGTAATAATCTGATCTATCCTTTGTAATTATTCGTGAAGAGGGGAGAGATAGGGGTGAGGTGGAGGATAACAACTTTCTATCAGAGTAACCCACACAAACCGGCGACGTCCTTTCGGCAACCACAAATTGTAAGGCTTCGAAGGGGTTTCACATTGTCATTGTGTGGGGATTTCTATAGCTTTGATGCTATGTGGGTTTTTTTACGTCTTGATTGGGTTTACTGAGTCTTGATTGGGTTTTCTGATTGGAGAAGATAGGGTAGTTGAAGATGGGTTATAGAGAGATAAAGTGAGTAGAGAGAGGGGGAGGGGTGATGCCAAATCGGCCGTCGGCGAAGGTTCAGATCTCGCCGGTGATGGTGGTTGAGGTGTGGCGGTGGTTCGCCGGTGGGGGTGGTTTGAGGTTTGGCGAAGGGTTTGTTTCGCTCGGTGTAATTGAGAAGGGTTTGTTCAGCCGGGTTTGCGTTTGTGATGACGTGGTTAACAGGTTGTGTTGGGTTTAGCAAGTACAGAAGTGAGGGGATGATATAGTAAGGGCAAAAATATCATTTAAAAGTTATAATATTTTATAGTTTAAATTAATAAAATTATTGAAGGATAATATTGACTTTTCATAATTTTAAGGACATATTTGGATTCATTTTTTGACAAGGGAGTGTCTTTGTCCCAAAATAACTGAACTTGTATACGATTGTCCTTTAGACAAATCTGAAGGGAGTGTCCCTAGACTTTACCCATTCTTTTTTTTAACATTGATACTTTTTAAGGTTTCAAAAATGTGCACCAGACTTCTTAAACCAAATAAAATTATTTTTTAACCCTTTAACTTATTAATAACTATATTTAAATTATGAAATTATAAATTTAACCTCCTAACTAAATTTAATGAACCAAATTAACATCTTCATCTGTTCTATACATTTATACATGATTTATATATAATAATACTAATACCATCATTTTTTTTTTTCTTTTTTGTTATTTTTTTTTTTATGTTGTGGTGATGGTTATGGTGGTATATAATTATCTAGCTATTTTTTAAAAAATATTTATTAATTTCCTTTTTATTTTTATATTGTGGTGGTTTTTATGGTGGTATTAGTATTATTATATATTTTTAAAATAGCCATATAATTGTACACCATCACACAAAAACACCAAGTAGAAAGAAAAAATTGAAAATAGTCATGGCCAACCCATACTTATATGTGTCAAATGCCACCAGAACCACCACCACCACCACACCAAGACAATACCACAAACACACTCAGACTTTACCAAAGCCGCCGCCACCACCACAATAGAAAAAATAAAATAAAAAATTTGAAACACCCTAATAACCTAGATACCGCCACAATTACACCTAAACCACACCAAAACAACCACCATCGATGTAGAGAAAAAAAATTAAGAACAACCATAGTCACCCCAAACCCACCACAATAAAAAAAAAAATAAAAAAAAAAAGGTTAAAAATTATGGTAAAGAAAGTGGCTTAATAATAAGGGTAGTTTTGTCGATTAACAGGACAGATATAAATTAATTGAATTAAATAATTAGGGGCAAATAAGATATTTGAAATTACAGGGTGTTATTATTAAATAAGCCGTTGACCCGTATATGTATGACATTGACCGAAACCTCAAGAGTGTCAATGCAATTACATCTTATTTATTTATTTATTTATTTATATATATATGTACAAATGACAATACCCAATTGTTCATTATGTATGCACCAGTTATTTTATCTTTCTGTACATTGACCTAAATCAATTGAAAAGTAAAAAATCAGGGAAAAAAAATTGAAAAGTTAAAAAACATTGATTAGAAATTGAACTCGGTTTATTTCACTTTTGTTACTTCCTTTTTTCAGTACTTTATTCATACTATAAGATATATAATTGAAAAGAAATTCAAATCCAACATATCTAACATTCCAAATATATGAATCTAATATAAACCTTGCCTTCTTCTTTTTTAAATTAGTTACTCTCTTAATATTTTTTTTTCAAAATTATAAAGGTTCATATTCTTCCTCCACCATAGTAATCACAGAGGTCAACTTGAAACTCATCAAAGAGGTCAACATTGAAACCCATCAAAGTAGTTCTCCTCTACAATACATCAGACATTTCGTTTAAGAAATATAAACGTAATCCTAAATTTTGTAGTTAGTATCTAACCAACACATAAGAATTATTTATATTCGGGCTGCAACTCGGGCGGGCCCAACCTGAAATAACCCAAGCCCAGCCCGAATTTTTGTGGGCTTGGACAATGTTTTTTTTATTTCGGTTTGGGCCTGGGCTATATATTTTAAGCCCAAATTCAATTCGGACTGGGCTTGAGTTAATATGGATGAATCCCGAAACCCAACCCGAGTCCGAAAATATTATATATATTTATAATTATATTTAAGTCACAAGAGTGTGATAGCTAAGTTGGTAGCGTGCTTTGGATTTATGCTTAAGGTTTAAATTTTGGAGTTATAGTTTTAGACCAACACATAAAAATTATTTATATATCATTCTTTCCATGGTTAATTATACATAGTTTCAATATATACATATCTATATATATGTGTGTATATATATACAATGTGTGTAGTTGCCAGAGCAACTTTCAAAAGGAAATCTAAGAATGATTCAAAAAAAAGGAAATTAACTCCCAAAAAGAAATCTGAGTAAGGTTTTCTCTTTTTAGTTCCGAAAAAGAAAGCTAATTATGTCATATTTCATTAGTGATAAAATCATAAAATTGTTAGAATTACATAGATTTCTCCTTTAGTACTTTGCTCCAAAAATATAGTAACATTATTTATTTGATACTTTTGTCCCATCACGTTAAAAAAAAATGCAATTTTACTATTTTGCACAATATTATTTTCAATCAAATAAAGAATTTTACAAGGGTAAATTTTATATTTCAGAATATATCAATGATGTAAACAAATATGTTAGTGACTAGTTTTGACATCTTTATTTGAAAAAAAAAAAATAATGACATAAAAAAATTTCAAATTTGCTTTTGTTCCCACAATTATCCTAAAAAAAATTACTCCTAATTTATGTTAAATGTTAAAAGGCCAAGTAGACTTAAGGGTATAATATAGTGATATCTTCTTTACCTTCTAAAAATTATAGTGAGGGTTCCAGTCTCATTAAAAAAAAATGAATGGGTGAATTTCTTGCCGATAAATAAAAATAAAAAATAAAAAATAAAAAATAAAAAATAAATAGCCATGTTTGAGATCTGGGAGAGAGAGGGAGTGTCGGTGACTAGGTACTAAAAAAAAAAAAGTTAAAAATTTTGGTAAAGAATGCAGCTTAATGATGAGAATAGTTTTGTCGATTAACAGGACAGATATTTTGTAAATTAATTGAATTAAATAATTAGAGGCAAATATGATATTTGAAACTACAAGGTGTTATTGTTAAATAAGCTGTTGACCCGTATATGTATGACATTGACCGAAACCTCAAGGGTGTCAATGCAATTTACATCTTATTTATTTATATATGTATTTATGTACAAATGACAATACCCAATTGTTCATTATGTATGCACCAGTTATTTTATCTTTCTTTACATTGACCTAAATCAATTGAAAAGTAAAAAATCAGGAAAAAAAAAATTGAAAAGTTAAAAACATTGATTAGAAATTGAACTCGGTTTATTGCACTTTTG